GAACGGAAAAACAGTGAATACATTTTTCACAATAGTCATACATCACTTCTGACTTGCCGTACCAGAAAACATTGATGTAAATTGCTAAACCACCTCCAGAGTTTTCTCTACTTCGCTGCCGATCGTGCCGGTAGCAATCAAATCCATCTATTCGCATGAGAACGTTCTCAACGTTTTGATTCAACCAAGTTTTTTGTACACATAACACAAGTGTTGGAACTAATGTGTGTGTTCAGAATAGAAGTTAAATCCGAGATCTTCGCGAATAGTGAGTGACCAATGACCAATGATGACACAGTCATCTTGGCAGGAGGGGCGCAAATAACTGCAATCTGATCCAAGCACATTTCGAGTCTTACAGGGAAAGCAATTAATGATGAGCACAGGATTCAAATTTCTCAGTCGAAGCATATCTTGACGGGAATAGATCTCGATTCTAGACTTGATTGGTATCGAGATATTGACGGAACAAATATGATACATTCCAACATAACGACGGGAACAAAAGTGTAATGCAGCAAATCAAAGAGTACGCTTCTTACTAGTGAGGAAATCTCCATTTGTTTGTTACAATATAGCCCACGATGAAATGAGGATGACCAGGTTGATGGGTTATCATCACCATGTAGTCTGAGCTTTGTACAATAGAATCAATCTTTGGCAAAATTATTTTGGTGAAATACTGTAAAACATACATATTTCGAACACACTTGTTAACAGCCCGTTTGAAAACATTTACATGCAAGTTTTGGCAATAAGAGCGCTTTCAGAGGTGGGAAAACCTGTCTAAAACATAGAACGGGCAGGTTTATTCCAATGATGTAAGCAAAAACAAGTTCGAATGTTGTTGTGAAAAAATAGGTTTAAGAAACCGTGTTTCACAGTTTCATGGCTCTGGTGGAGAGAGTATTTTAATTTCGTCTTAAGGTAGGCTTTTAGCATCACATATTACGTAAAACGGGGGCTGGTGACCTAACATAAGTGAATAAGGGACTTAATGGACAAGCCTTGTGGTAAAACAATAGTAATAATAGCGGTAGGAAAGGGATAAGGAGGTAGTTGTACGGTGAAGAGCAAGCGGTTGAAGAACATGAAGAACAAAGACAAAGCACGAACCATAATTGGCAAAGAGTTAGAGCTGATCCCGCCCCAGACTTGACAAAAATATTCCGGAGTGAAACACGGTGCTTGAGATAATGGATGGATGGACATATTACAAATGGTGGGAGAACTTATGAATCACTATGCGATGTCTGAGATCACAATTAGTGATCAATTTCGAGGGGAAAATACTGCCTAATATATGCCTAGGACGAATTCGCTGCGTCCCAACATGGTGCATACTGCAAGAAACACAATGCTTGTATTGGGTTTTTAACTTAGCAGCACAGTAAATTAAAATAGACTAAAACACAAAAACAGAAAGGCAGTAGTGTAAGGATGATCAACCCTCAGGGTATTAACCAGCTAAAATAAAGCACTTTTTGACACAACAGCGGTTCACTGGTAGATAGCAATTGTAACTGTTTTAACAAACCTTATCCACCTTGGGACGCTTGACTTGCAGACAGTCCAAAAAGTAGCGTTTTGCTGGACCCATTGTTCTGTCAGCAGACCAGATATACCTGGTATAATGAGCTGATTCTTTACACTGGCTAGACTTTCCTCGATTGAATCTGAACAGTTGCATTTAGTTTATCTCTTTAAACTACAAGGATTTCACCATCTGTGAAAACGAGATCAGAATCAGTTCGATACCAGTCGCTTTTTGTGATCTGCGAACTGTCTGTTTTGCAGCTTTTGTTTGACCTTGCCTTGGTCCGCACAAAAACACACGGTCAGATATCAGAGTTGAATACTGATTCGCAAACGTGACATTTAAGGCTAGGCACCGTCTCACAAACCTGGTACAATGCGTATCAACTTGGCTATTCAAGCACAAACCAAGTAACCAGACGATGAAGTGCCGATAAATCGGTAAACAAACCGTTGTTGAACAGCATTTGTAATTTGAGCGCCTTACACAGCAAGGAAAGTTGTTCACCAACTGAGTTACCATAGTGCCACGGTGTGTCACACAAATGAATCACGGTACAATTGATTTATTTTCGTTACGAATCACAAGCAGTTCATTAACAATCACCTGTATCCGACATTCCAAAACTCAGCAGTGATCGTTTTGTGGCGAATCCTTCTAGCCCTTGCTTCCAGATGCCGCTCCCGTTTCCGTGGATTTCTGTCGGTTCTCAGAGGAAACGATTCCCGAGGCAAACTATGAGATTCAGATATCTGAACTCCTGCCCAGAAACTCCCTCTAGGTCACTCTTATCACTCCTTTTTACATTCACTTGAATAAATTTGTTAAAACCCTTTACTCAATGAGTGTCAACATTTTGAACTGCTTCACATATTTTCTTAGTTTTATTCGAGGTAACATCTGATTCACTATTCAACTCATCGTAAACATTGACCTCGGCTGACAGGATTCTCGAAAATCGTAGAAGAACAGGTGGATACAAAGTAAAGTGGAAAAGTGGAGAAACAGTTAAACACGGACAAATGGTAGATAAATGGGATAACAAAATTTTCTGTATTTCACCGTAAATATTTTGCATTTTTTTGTGTTGTTTGTTGTTTTTATGGGGTACGGGATTTCAACAGGCAGACCATACAGCGTTCGCGCCACTGACTTCTATTCTGGGCCATATCTCTCAGCGTCTCTAACTGACGACAATCCTCATCCCTTGGGCCCCAAACCGGAGGGCGGACTGCACCAAACAAAGCCGAATCTGAAGCGAGCTTCTTCATACCTCTGCGCCTCGTCATGGTCTGACCGCCGCGCCGCTTCTTCAAGTCTTGCCTGGCATGTGCGAAGGTAGCACGAAAAGGTAGTCGATGGGCAGGCATACGCAATACGTGACCCAGACATTGGAGGCGGTGTAGAACGATTACTTCTGTTAGAGAATGACTATTCGCACCCGACTCACGACGACAAACATCGTGATTGATCACTCGGTGTTCTTACTAGACACGAGCAATGCTTCGGATATATCGGTGGTCGAATACAGAATGTCAATTAGTATCCTCAACGTGGAGAAGCCAGGTCTCGCAACCGCAGTGATGTACACCCTACCCGTAAGGGACAGTCAGATGTCATGGCGGCGCCACAGGTGTCGCAGGTTAGCGCAACCTGCTCTCCCTTTCGCTATTCGTGATGGGATCTCCTCCTCAACATCCCCACCAACTGCGGTCAAGCTCTCGAGGTACTTAAAGCTCTCAACCACTTCCAGCTGATCATTGCGGAGGGTAAGTGCAGACACAGACTCTTGCCAGTCTTGAACAAGCACTTTGCATTTGGAAAGTGCAAAGCACATACCAAACTTGGTGCTGGATACCTCGATCACCAAGCGGTTCAAAGTGTTTTTGACTGCCTGTGTATTGTGACCAAAGAAAACGATGTCACCAGTATATTCAAACTCAAGGACTCTGTGCCCCGGGACGAGTTCGACTACACCGTTTTCCACGCCGGCCAAAGCATTCCGTAGAACATCCACTGTGACAAGGTTGAATAGGAATGGGGATATAGGGAAGTTCCATAGTACGATCCTATCGACAGAGTCGAAGGCCGCGCGGATGTCTAGGAGTACAATGATCGTTGGTCTTTGATAGGTATGATGGTGATCCAGCAGCTGTCGGATGGTGAAGATTTGATCGATGCATCCACGACCGGCGAGGAACCAAGCCTGATCGTCGCGGGTCTGTTCCTCACGCACAGTGTGCAATCGGCGGAGAATGACGGATACCAAAAGCTCTGACGCTATTGGGTTGCTATAAGTGGACTATGAAGATGGAACTTAATCGATATCACTGCAGGGTGATGATTTTCTACAACTACAAATTTGGTTTACAGCAGCTGAAGTGTTGATCGTTTGCTACATACCTTTGCTGATGATAAGGCTTCAAGAAGCACTGTGTTTTAGTGGTTTGTGATATTCAAGCGTCGCAGGCCGTCCCTGGATGACGAGATGCGGAGTGGCCAACCTGTGGCAGCCACCACAGCGGACAACATTGTGGCTGTGCAAGTGGTGCGGGAGAAAGACTTGCGGGTGATAGTGTCACAGTTAGCGAAAGTCATCGGGATCTCAGCGAAATCAATCCGCACAATCCTACTTGAGAATATCGGCCTCAGAAATGCCTGCCGAAAGAACTGAAAGCTGTTGCCACTCGTCGTCCAAGGATTCGAGCACGACGGACCTTGCTGTACAATGTGAACGCACCTGCGGACGGGTCGCAGATCGTCGGCGATTTTCTCGCTAGAGGACGCATATAGGCGGTTGGTTACCCATCCTAAAGTTCACACTTGGCTCCGTGTGACATTTTGTGTTCCCAAATGTCACAAACTCGATGTGTGCTGTTTGATGCGACTCAGCAACAGTAACATCAGATGCTTTTTTAAACTGCTCGAAAGAAAACCAACTTTGACACAGTCTAGCTGTTTATTCAAATGGTTTGAGTGCATGGACATTTGCGTAATTTCCGGTGAACAATACTTAAAGAAAGAGCTTATTTTCTTGTAATAAATAAAACTTTTGAGCATCTGAACAAAGTTGTTAAGCCCTCGTATACATACATATACATATTCATATGGCTTCCGCAGTTGTCAGGATCTTTCTACGTAATCCTTTGGCGTGGTTCTTAGGCACAGTGAAGAAACTTGTGAATGATGTTTCTGGGTCAATACTGTGTCCACTATCGACCAAATGTTGCAGGGTTGAGCTGTTTAGGCTTCTCACTGTTCCTTTTCGAAGAGCGGCCGGACAGTGTTCAGATATTCTCTTAGACAAACGCCTCGTTTTATGTCCGATATAACGAGCACTACAGGTGCACGTGAACTGATATAGAACAAAGGATTGGGGCTGATGAGGCAATTTATCTTTAAGTTGTTAAGCAATGAATGGCTTAATCCTGGATGAGAGTCTTAAATGCGCCGCGGGAAAACATTAAGAAATGGCTTTGGATAACGGATATTCCAGAATTTCTAATTCCTTGTCTTCCTTGAAAGAAACGTTGGCAAACACCTTCTTCTTTCTTGTCAATTGTACTTTCGCATCGGTTGGTTTCGATTCCATATTTCGTCGAACAAACGCTTCTGGGTATCCGTTCCTCTTGAGGATGTCTTTTATATAGGTCAACTCTTCGGTCAAAGTCTCCGGACTACAAATTCTATTTGCCCTATATGCTAAACAGTTCATTAAATTCCGTTTGTATCTCAGTGGGACAGAACTTTGAAAATGTTTTTTCAATCTACTGACTAATTGAACTATATATGTAACTGCCTGAAGCGAGATATCGAAAAGAAATATCTTCGTGTTTCGACTTTGTTCTTATGCGTCAATGGGAATATTTTATGATTTGAAAAAAGTGATCATCCTATGGCGTTAAATGACCTCAACATATACATATATATAATAAAAAGAACGCCATGACGGTATACCATATTGTGTAACAGCCACTTGCTCAGAAAATTCACGCATCCTTAAGGACACTTTACCACAGATCTGTGCTCCTCTGGACATCAGACTGACTGAACAATCATTGTGACTTTCTTCATGAGACGCATTTTATCAGTTTATGTTAACATTTCATGATTTTTCATACCGAGACAACCTCATTGTCTCGAATGGTAAGTTTAATCATTGTTTTCCACTTCCAACCAGTGAATAAGGTCGTTATAATAAAGAGCATTTTTTTAGTTGTATCAACAGTTTTATTCACAGTCCTAGTTGTTCTGCATCAATCTTTACGTGCACACTTTCACAATTCAAAGTGATAAAAGGCACCAAAATCACTGAAAAGCTCATGTCAAAATTATTACGGAATAGGTAGTTGTCGTTTCTCCACCGATTGTGTTGTATTATGATGTTTATTCTACAAAAAAAGTTTTGTTTGTTTTTAGTATCAGGAATGTTCTGGTCACAAGTCAATGATGTTTCAGGCAGTATCAACAGATCTCACATCATCACTAGCGGACCCTGGAAATGTCATGCCTGTTTTGATTTTTATTTATATTCATTCTATTTATATGCGTCAAACTTTGTATGGCAAATATCTGGAATGAAAATGCATCGGAAATTGTAACCCATATATCCATCGGC